GAATACAGTCAGAGTAGACACCTTGATCTGTATTATAACCTCCAGTAACCAACAAGCTATCCTTGTACACCACATTGCTGTGTGCACACATCTTGGCAGGGAGTTTCGCAGCAAAATCACTCCAGTTAATTGAAAGATCAGGGACTGGGTGAATGTTCATTCGGATCATGTTATCTACAGAACCATAACAATAACCTCCCGTTACAGTCACGTGATTATTGTAGAGAAATGAAGATGCGCTGTTACGATCCTCTGACATGGGCTTTAAGAAAGACCACAGTCTCTGACGGTAGTTAAATATTTCTACGGAGTTTCTCCCCAGACCACCAGCAACAAATATATGTTGATTTTCTCTCCCGCCACTCGCTGTGCCATTTACATCTCTTGTGATTTCTTCCTGCTTTCTTTCTTTGCTCTCTATCTTCTCAAGTACTGCTTCCTTCAAGTGATCAAAGCCATCTTTTACTTCATTTAAACTCATTTTTATTCCTCTCACTTCATTATTCATCGCTTCGAACTTCGCTTCCACGTTCGCTTGCAAATTTCCCATTTTCGTGTTCATGTTTTCCAGTTTCGTGTCGACGTTTGCCATTTTCGTGTCCGTGTTTTCTATTTTCGTTTTTACATCTGCTATTTCCGTTCTAATATTTGCCATGTTCGTGTTTGTGTTTGCCAATTTCGTTCTGGTATCCGCCTGATTCGTGTTGATGTTCGTGTTCAGGTTTGCGATTTCCGTTTTCATTCCTGCCATGGTGGTGCTGATTTCTCCACAGTTGTGACACTTCAACTTTCTAAATTGACACAGTTCACTCTCGTGATATATACAATCTCTTTTACTGATTGTCTCACCACAACCTTGATTCCCACAAACGACTGGAGTAAACCCGCATTCGGCGACATGTCGCTTTAAAATCTGCAGCTGTTCGAGTTCTCGACATCCTCTGTCGTAATGATCGCAACGTATACTTAGTTCGTTTAAGTAATTCTTCACAATTCTTGGAACGTCTTGCAATGTTTCGACACTCAGCTCGTCAGCACACGTTGGGCATGTATGGGAATTCCTACGAAGATGTTCCGTGATGCAGCCGTGGCAAAAATGGTGCTCGTTTCTGCGGCACGTCACGGGGTCTTTCAATACGTTATAGCAAATCAAACAGTGGAAATTTTGGTTCACTATCGACTCGAATCTTTCGTCATCGTACCCGAGTGGATAATTTGATGCCATATTTGGTCGCTGTTTTGCTAAACTAAAAATAAAGTGAATATTAGAGATTTAATACTACTGTTGTGTTATACTGTACACATCGTGTCCGAATTGACAGCCTTATACCTTTATTTGATTCCTGTAAAATGTTTACTAAACATTCTTCTTAAACGTTGAAGTAAATGATCAGTATTAAACGACAGCCAGGCAGAGATTCAAGCGTATGTATGATCGAAATGCTGCGACGTTTTAAAAGCGTTTACAATAACAACTTGTTTTGCAAAACAGCACAAAATTTGCATTTTTGAACCGGGAACTGGTCCCCAATGGCTGGTAATCTTATTGTTGTTAGGTAGGCTTCTTCATTTTGAGTCGGATCGTTATGAAATTTTAAACGATATTCCTCGTCGACTGATGGTGTCCGATTTTTTATTTTTGATTTGGGGGCAACTTGCAAGCAGTTCTTGTCTGTACGCGTATAATAATAATATGCATATCATTAATGTTCCGACAGCAAACCCCAATTTTGATTAAATTGTTAATAATGATTATTAACAATTTAATCAAATGACTGTCTTTGTTATGGTTGGAGTTTGTCTGTTAATGGACGTGGTATTAGTAAGATGAAACCAGGAATTGCCAACTCAGAATTATGCCACGCGGAAATGCATTTATTACATCAAAGACAAAGTACACGTAATTTGCAGGTATAAAGCAAAACATTTAAGCGAACGCTGGCAATATAAAACGGCTCCACTTCGAGAACCATTTAATTGATGATTCCCCTTATTACGTTTTCGTAGCGCTTTGCATTGTGGTGTAGTGGTATCACTGATATTCAAGATGGCTTATTTTTTCCTGCCCGTGCAAGAACTTTTAAAAAAAGCTAGGATCAAGTGCGCGATAGCTAACAGCAAAATATTCGCGAAAACATTCAATATTTTCATTCGAGGCTGCTATCTTTATCAGTGATACCACTATAACCACAATGCAAAGCGCTACGAAAACGTAATAAGGGGAATCATCAATTGACTAGTGTTTCGTTCGATCATTTGGGTCATTTTAACGTATATAAAAAAATGCTTTGTCGAAACAACATTAAGCCAAGGGTTTGAAACAATGCAAAAGTTTGAGTTCTGAAACGATGGATCAACGTGATAATTAACGAAGTAATAACTTGCACGACATACCACATCGACCAGTTCCTGGTCCAGTAGTACGATCGTACTTGTTTTAACAAAAAATCGACATGATGTCTAGTTTGGTATGTAAAAATCAATGAGATGGCCAGTATGTTTCGGAAGTGGCAGTCTTGTTTTAGGAAAATGAAGCCATCTGGAAAATGAAGCCATCTGGAGAAGAAAATGTTATACAGGGTGTATAAAAAAAACGCAACCTCGGAATTTCCGAAGAAATCGACATTGTTTTAAGGACAAAAGATTTTAGGTGCCTGGGAATTTAAAATAGCACAACTCTCAACATTAGTGCACACACGAGTGCATAAAGCAACAACAGTAATATGATCTTTTAGCAATTCGATTTCAATTCCCAGGGGCCTAAAATCTTTTATGCTTAAGAATTGCAAAGTGATTTCTTAGGAAATTCCGAGGTTGCGTTTTTTTATACACCCTGTATACAGTGCGAAGTGTCTTGTTGGCTTAAATACTGGGTTTGGTTAATAATCCAAGTGAGCATATTTTTACACAATTTAAGACCTAATCAGGAACGGTTGCGAAAAATGCAGCACAAGGTCCTGTGGCTGGAATCGAACTGTGGCCCTGCGATTCCGGTGTAGCGCTCTAACCAACTGAGCTATAGAGGCCAGTTGTCGAGCTCTAACCACAAGTTCATGTTTATATATATTTTCGGATGTGCGGGTTGTGATAGGGTGAACTTGACTTGAAAGATGTGTTATGCACTTGACTTGGTGTTACATTTTTCGCAACCGTTCCTGGCATCTTGGTCGGTAGAAAAGAATGTTGAAGGGTATTTGTTGATGTAAATTTTCAGCTACAGCATGTGCGTAATTTTTGTTCGAAATTTCTATCAACAAAAACCCTTCAATATTCTGATAAACAGCTATTTCAATTAAGGTTGTCACAAGAAATAGTCAAATGTACAGTGTGTCTAAAAAAGGTGAACCCTTTTAAATAACCCTATAACGTATAGTAGTAATTTGACAGCTCTAATTGCTTTGAATTAATGGTTGGGTAAGAACACAAGGTCTCGTCGTACTCATGGGACAAAAGTCTTAAAAACTATTAAATTTTCTAATTTTTATTTAATCTTTGAGTTTTGTCCCATGAGTACAAGACCTTGTGTTCTTACCCAACCATTAATTCAAAGCAATTAGAGCTGTCAAATTACTACAATACGTTATACTGTAACATTATTGTTACAAACTTGTGTTGTCAACCGTGTTACCGTGTAACATTCTTTTTATATCATGACTGTATCAGACTTGTTAGAACAACTTCACTACAAGTCAGATAGTGTCATCAAGCTTGTTACAAGTTGTTAACAGCTTGTTCCAAACTTGTTGCAACAACTGGGAACAAGCAGTGCGAACACAACTTGTCGACAGCTTGTGAACAGAATTGTGACAACTTGTTTGCAGACCTGTAAAAACTTGTGCGTTTTTACGTATACCCTAATTAGGTTAAATCATGCAAATCATTAAAAATGTGCATAGCATGACCTGTTGCTATGACTAGCTTCGCCATTGAATTAAACTATATATTAAATTAAATCTAAGGAAAAACGTTGAAAGAACTTACAGCTTGTGTACACACGTAAAAACTGCCAGTTCTTACAGATCTGTAAACAAGTTGTAACAAGGTTGTTGTGAAGCCGATATCAGGATGTCTTCGCACTGCTTGTTCCCAGTTGTTGTGACAAATCTGGAACAAGTTGTTATCACCTTGTTACAAAGTTGATGACGGTAACAGACTTGTTACAATTTGTTCCAACAAAACTAGCACAGGCTGTTCGTAACAAGTTGCTACGAGCTTGTTGCCATCAACTTGTTAACAACTTGTGACGTGCAGACGATACACACGTAAAAACGCGCAAGTTCGGTTACAAGTCTGCAAACAAGTTGTTACAAATCTGTTCACAAGCTGTCGACAAGTTGTGTTCGCACTGCTTCTTCCCAGTTGTTGTAACAAGTTTGGAACAAGCTGTTTAACAACTTGTAACAAGGTTGATGAGACCAACACACTCGCAACAGGTAGTGTACACGTGGCAAGTTGTAAGGAAGTTGATGACAACAAGCTCGTAGCAACTTGTTACGAACAACCTGTATTAGTTTTCTGCAACAAAATGTAACAAGCTTGTTACCGTACTCAACCTTATCACAAGGTGATAACAACTTGTTCCAGACTTGTGATAACAACTGCGACCAAGCCGTGCAAACGTCCTGATATCGGCTTGACAACAACCTTGTTACAACTTCTTTGCAGATCTGTGACAACTGGCACGTTTTTAGCTGTGTATAGGGCATAATTACACACCTAAAAATCTCGCGTCTTGTAACAAGTCTGCCAACAAGCCGTCAACAAGATGTATTCGCACTGCTTGTCACAAGTTATCAACAGGTTTGGAACAACGTGTTGACAACTTCTAACAACCTTGTCGAAATTATCAGACTTGTTGCAAGGTTGTTCTGACAAGTCCGTTACATGCTTGATATAACAAGATTGTTACAACCTTGTGTTGACAACCTTGTAACATCCTTGTTACATCATGGCTGTAACAAACTTGTTAGCACAGTCTTGTAACAAGACTGATAATGCCATCAAGCTTGTCACAAGTTGTTATAATTATCAGCTTGTTTCAAACTTGTTACAACAAACTGGGAATAAGCAATGCGAACACAACTTGTTGACAGCTTGTGAACAGACTTGTGACAGCTTGTT